TGAGCCGCCGGCGGGGCAGGCCTCTTCCGAGCTCGCCCGGGTCCCGATGGCTTCTCCGTGGGAGCTGGAGGAGTCGGATTCTGCCACAGGCCTCCCGCCTCTGAGGGTCCCGTTGTAAGAGCTTTAAGGGGAGGGCCAGGCTGGAAACGGCTTAAGTTTTCTCCCCTCCAGAGCATCAGGGAAACTGCCGGCCGAGCCCTGGTCTGGCCCATGCGGCGCGCTCCCCTCCTGCCCGCCTGGCCTGCGCTACCCAGAGCGCCGGCCTGGTCCTCTCTGGCATGGGGCCGAGGAAACGGGGTGGGGGGTGACGTTACCCGGGGGCGAGAGCCAGTGTGACTAGCACGCTGAGTGCTGGAAGGGGGGGAGCAGCACAGACATGCTTGGGGCGCACACGGGGGAGCGCTGCCCCCCTGCCTTCAGCGTCTTCTCTCTGCTCCTGCCTTGCAGGGGAAGGGTTCCACAACTACCACCACACCTTCCCCTACGACTACGCCACCAGCGAGTTCGGCTGGCACTACAACTTCACCACGGCCTTCATCGACCTCATGTGCCTGCTGGGGCTGGCCAGCGACCGCAAGAAGGTCTCCAGGGAGGTCGTCCTGGCTCGGAAGATTCGTACCGGCGACGGGAGCCACAAGACTGGCTGAGGGCCCGTACCCCGCCCCTGCCCTCCCCTCCCCCCGCAAGCTGGGCGCAGGGTTTCTGTTCTAGTTACTAACAACTGAGCTGTCTCAGGCGCCGATGGATTTTAACCGCCTCCCGCACGGCGTCTGAAACGATGCACGTCCGGCCCGTAGCTGCCCCCTCCCCCCGCCGCTCGTTCCACCTCCGGCTTTCCTCCAGGCTTCGTTCGCTCCCCGGCTCTGCCTCTGGGCAGGGAGCTGGCGACAGCCGGGCTGGAGGAGAGGGGAGCCAGTACCAGCCGGCCAAAGTCAGGGTGTCTCTAGAAACTCTCCATGCCCCCCCGCCCCGGGCTGCTGACCCTGAGTGGGGCCCAAGCAGCACAGGCCTCTGCCAGGGACAGCAGCCATGTCCCCGTCCTCGCTAGCAACAGGGGGCCAGGCTGTCCGTGGGCCCGCTGTAGGCACAGGCAGGTGCTGCAGGGCTGGGACCAGCGACCCGCCAGCTGCAGAACATGGCGACAGGGCGCTCGCCAGCTGCCTTCTTGCCTTGCTGGCGCTTCTGGGACCGACTCGGGCTGGGCAGCGGGAGGCCAGGCCATCCTGGGAGATGAGGGGCGTGCTCCATGACACTGGCTGGGGCCCGGAGGCGTGGAGCCCTGGCTGGCATTTCCCAGGAAGCCGGGGGGCAGGCGTGGGAAGGCGGCGGCACGGAGCCCCGGGAGCCTGGTGTCGATGCAGACGGGCTCCCTGCAGCCAGTTCCCACCTACCTGCTAGAATCTGACACCAAACCAAGGGCCGTGGAGAGGGGAAAACCGGAGAAAGTTCGAGGGGCCCAGCCCAGATGCTGTGGGATCTCTTCCCTCCTCTCCCCCATACCTGGGGGGAGCCACCTCTGCTGGGCAGCTCCAGGCTGGGCATGGAGCCATGGGCAGGGGCTCAGTCACCCCCCAAAGTAAATCAGATGCTGGGGGGCTAAAGCATCTTGCGTGTGCCGCTGCTGGGGCCCATAACGCCCCCAGCCCTGCGGGGTGAGAGCAGGCCGGCTGGGGGCCGGGCTGCAGACAGGCCCGTCCCGGCCGGCCCCAGGTGCCCGCTGCCCAGCACTGGGCAGGGATGGGGCCTGGTCTCGCTGCTCGGGACAGAACTGCCCAGAGGCTTCTGCCAAGCCGGCTGCGCTGGCGGCCGCCCAGGCAACGGCCCGCAGTTCTTCCCACGCGCATGATCTGGCAAGCTGCGTGATGTAACCTGCCGATCAGCTGCGTGACCCAACAGGCAGCAGCCCCGGGAGGAAAGCAGGGAGTCCTGGGCGCTGCCGCGGAGCAGCCCCAGCAAGCGGAGCGGAAGTAACCAAACAGGACTGCTGTTGGGCGGGAGCTTGGCGTGCATCTCTGGTGCCTTACGCCCTTCACTATACATAGGAGTATGACAGCTAGTTGCAGGGTGTTATTTTTCTTTCTCTGATGTATTATGGAAACTTAATTATTAATTATTTAATTGCCATCGTGGCGATGTGGGTGCTTCTGAATGGACTGAGTTAATTTGCTGGATGAAGGAATTGTTGCATCACTGTCAACAGGCCCTTGTTTGCTTTGCATTTTCCTTCTGTGGCATGTTGGCCTCCTAGGTGCGTTCTCTGGGTGTAGCTAAAGTGCGGCAGGGCGAGAGGTGGGCGTAGACAAAGCACCTGCATGCCTGTGGCTGGAGCAGCAGGCTTCCAAAGCTTTGCCACTGACTCAGTGTGAGGTCTAAGTCCAGTCACTTAACCTCTGCTTCCCTCTCTGAAACTAATACTTGTGAAGCCTTGTGAGATCCGGCTGTGGAAGGCCTGGTGTGCACGTGAGGGGTGGTGGTGGTAGCAAATGACGGGCTTGTAAACAGGATTATCAGCCCCTCTGGTATCCTGGGGACGGGACTTGTGGGTGTTGGCTAAGTAGCAAAGGGTTGGACGGCTGAGTCTGTGCATTGTCTAAGCTGTGTTGCTATTGAAATGTATGTGTGGGATGCAGTGTCCCCGCATTGGAGGCTCTCCATGTTTTGTCTACTGAAAATGTTTTGAAATAATTTCTACTAATCTGACTCAGGCGGCGGATTGTGCTGACCTGAACCGGTATCTGTTCGTAATAAAAGTTTCCTTTACAACTCGACTGCCTGTCAGCGAAGGGCGGGACTGGCAGGAGGCTGCTGGTCCTGCAAATATTTCCCCCTCGCGTGGGTGGAGGAAGGGAACCGGCCGTGCACCCCAACTGGTTTGAGGGCGCTCGCTCCCCGCCACGTGCAGGGCGGTCACACCCCCGTCCCTCCTTCCTGAGCCTGCTTTGGTTTAAATTCCACCCAGGGCCTCTCCCCAACGCCGCAGCTGCTGACAGATCTGCAGGCAGCAGCACACGTGACACCAGCGGCTCAGCCGCGTGTGGCGCAGGAGTTCAGGAACCGCGTGCTGCAGGGGAGGAGAGGAATTTTCCTGCAGTGACAGAGCAGCACGGGAGAGCCCTCCTGCCCCCCCTCCCCTCTGCAGCTGGGCAGGGTGGAGACAGCCCCAGTCACTGCAGGGCAACAGACCCCCCCTCCCCACTCAGGGTACATTGGGCTGGGAAGCTGCAGTACAGCTGGGCTGTTGCTGCCTGGCCCCTTCAGAAGGAATCGCTGCTGCCTTTCTGGTGCCCCCCTTTAGCCACCACTTGTAGCCCCTAGGTAGCGGGGAGGGTCGGGGTTTCCCCGAGAGCTCAGTGCTGGTGGCCCGGTCACTTCCAAAACCGCGGCGCTCTTGGGGAAAGTCCGGCTCCGCGGGAGGGCTGGGGGGGCCAAGGCCTGGCCCCTCCTGCTGGCTGGGAGTCCAGCGCAGAAGGCAGAGCTGCCAGCTG